AAAAAAAAAAAAAGAGAGAACTTAGGAAGAGACAGACACGCACAAGGAGGACCACGTGAGGACACAGTGAGCAAGCCAAGGGCGGGGCCTCCAGAGGAAACTGCCGAGATCTTGATCTTGGATTTCCAGCCTCTAGAATTTTATAGCAGGTGTAGCAGATGACAGAGAGCCCATAGCCAGGAATGGGAGAGAAAGCATGGGCAGGAATGGAACGTGCTGAGCCAGAAGTGCCCCAGGGAGCGTCCAGTGGGAAGTGAGCTTGTACAAGTGGACTAGGTCAGAGCTTGGTCCTCAGTGGGCAGGAGTGTGGTGTAGGGTGAAGTAGCACAACTCTGGAAGAGATGGGAATTCCAGAAGAGGGTGCAAAGTGAGGAGGAGCGTGGGGTTGAGGACGGATTCCCTGGGGGATCAGCAAGGCTTAAGGACCAGCTTTAGGTAGGGAATTGAGGATTTAGGAGATAGTGATGCCAAAGCATGAGCCAGATAAGTCTGGGGCCGCGTAAGCTTTCTAAGAAGCTTTGAGGCAACGACGCTAATCCTTCTAAGAAAAGAGGTCAGGTGGCGGCTGGATGTCAGTCCTCATGGGCCATAATTGGACTCGTAGTGTTTGGGAAAGTGGTTATAATGTGGCCTGTTGGGACACAGAGGGCAGGGAAGGTCAGAAGGGACTGAAGGCCATGAGTTAAGACTGCTGTCACTCAGTAAGGCCAGCCAAGAACAGAAGCCAAAACTGCTGGAGGTGAGCTAATCCCCCACCCCTGTCTCTGCAGGGAAGACTTTCCCTCGCACTTCCCCTGAAGCAAAAGACCAACCCCCTCCCGCCGTGTGGCAGCCTCAATGGATTACACAGAAAGAGTATGCACTGCCTCTGTGTGTGCATGTGTGTGTGTGTGTCCACACTGACACACAAATGCACACATGCACAGCGGGCTAGATTTCAACTCACGCATCAGAACACTGTTCCACAGCTAACCTCTATATCAGTGGTTTTCAACATTCCGAATGCCATGACCCTTTAATACAGTTCCTTATGTTGCGGTGCCCCCCAACCATAAAATTATTTTCATTGCTACTTCATAGCTGTAATTTTGCTATGTTATGAATTGTAATGTAAATATCTGATATGCAGGATGGTCTTAGGAGACCCCTGTGAAAGGGTCGTTCGACTCCCAAAGGGGTCGCGACCCACGGGTTGAGAACTGCTGCTCTATACCAATGCTTGGCACCAGATTCTGATTGCTTAGTAGTAGGGGACCAAGTTTGGGCCAAGAAGTGAAGGAAATTTCCTGATTTCTTTTGTTAAAAAAAAAGAAAGAAAGAAATATGGTGGCAGGAATGTGACTTTTCTTCCGGTGGATATTACCACATGTGGCTGCAACACTGGAAGTTGCAGCAGCCAATTTTGTATCCACAAGCAGAGCTGGCCTGGGGCAGAGACAGCCCCGCAGGAGGTGAGTCTGCCTACACCTTACAGGTATGTGAGTTGTAATTTTATTATTATTTGTCAGTTTATTTAGAGTGACCTCTAGCCAATCACAGCTTTACACAGTGTCTGAAAATTTCCATGATATGAGTAATTTCCTTTTCTAAATATATAGGGAAGTTCAGAAAGAACTCACATGAGTCTACACATATCTGTGACAAGACCTCAAGTTTGTGATAAGACTTCAGGTTTTCTAGACTTCAAACAATAATAGAAATAAAAAAGCTTACGTCTGATGAATGGTCATTCAGAGATAGTTCTATTACCAGGTTTTACGGTGTGTGCAAAGCATTTCTCTTCCTAGTTTTAAAGAGCCATGTGCTGTCCTTCCTAGCATAAGTCCTAAACAAGTCACATTTTGATTTCTTTAGAAACTAAAGAACTCATTTTTATTCGCAAAGTGTGACAGTTTTGCTTTGGGCACCAAATAACCCGGAGCAGCAGGCAGCCTTACCGTTGAGCCATTTGGAGTTGTACTGTGCCGTGCGGAGAGGGGGTAAGATGCCCAGACTCCGGTAAATGGCAGGGTCACGGCCCGGGAAATCCATGGCCGTCGCAGCGTAGAGCTCCCCGCCGGCCGTGAGCAGGGCTGTGGAGTTGTGCTGAGGGCTGTAGGGACAGCGGGCCATGCCACTGATCTGATCATGGACCTCGGTCAGGTTGCTCAGCTGTGGGCAAAGACAAGAGAGAAAGCAGTCATCCCCTGAGGATGGCCCTCAGCAGCGCTAATGGATTGCGTCCACTCCACAGCAGTGAAGCACGTGCCCTCAGCTCTCCAGGGCTCCAGATAAGACATGACCAGTGTTCAACTCTGGCTGATGGAAACATCCCCTGTGGTCATGCTTGGAGCGCCCATCAATCAGTCTGTCTGTCTCAGCCCTTTAGAGTTACTGAACCTCATACCACAGGGTACTCACAAAATATAAAAGTAAGATTATTCTCTGTGTGCCTTTGATTTATAATGCACATGTGTTGCCTATATTTTAACTATAATAATCCAACTTCAACATTTATGGAGCTAGAAACCACAATAAAGAATTATACATTTAATACAATGTTATCAGTATAAGTGCCTCAAAATATAAATATTACAGATAGTTCCAAACAATGTTGGGTTCACAGGTGAGGATGGTGGCTCTGTGGTGTCACGTAGTTCACATTTCCAGAAAGACGCTGCTGTGTTGTGGCTTCCCTAGTGCCGGATTCCCAACAAACTGCAGAATGAGAAAAGCTCTTGGTGCTGGTGGGATCTTCACTTGGTTCGCTTTTACCTGATAGGTGTTGGGAGCAGAAGGGTCAGGTGGGCAGACACAGGCCAAGTGCACTGCTGACGAACTGATTCTGCCCCTGTGGGTGCAGGCTGGGTAAGTTTCCTAAACACCTGTTAAAATAGACCCACAGCCGACAGGAAATGAGCTCGCTGTGGCTAAGATGAGCCACACCAGGAGCAGAACAAGTGGCCACAACAGGTACCCTGTATTACCGACTGCCATTAAGGTCTTCTTTTCTGTAACTGAGAAGAAACTAGTCCTTTAAGAAATTGTCAAAATTGCAGGCATGGTGGTTCCTGCCTATAATCCTAGCACTCTGGATGGCCAAGACAGGTGGATTGCCCTGAGATCAGGAGTTGGAGACCAGCCAGAGCCAGAGCGAAACCTCGTCTGAAAAAATAGCCGGATGTTGGGGCAGGTGCCTATAGACCCAGCTACTCGGGAGGCTGAGGCAAGAGAATCACTCGAGCCCAAGAGTTTGAGGTTGCTGTGAGCTGTGATGTCACAGCACTCTACCAAGGGTGACAAAATAAGACTCTGTCTCAAAAAAAGAAAGAAATTGGCAAAATAACTACAACTGGGAGTTTCCAACTCCCAGGGGACCACCCAGCCAACTTGATTACCCTCGGCCAGGCCTCCAGTCCTGCCAGCAAGACAGAACCACACCCTGCAAACATTCCTTCCCTATAAACAGCCAGAGAGCAAGTGAGGCTGCACACAGAAGGTCTGAAAGTCCTGCCGCTCAGCTTTTGATGCAGAGCTGCATTCTACCTGTGTTCATGTTAAAACCCCACCCTAGGGTGAACCTAGAGTACACGTCACAGATATGTCACCCACCGTGCTTATGCGTGACTTCCCTCTCAAATATTCAAAGATTTCTCCCAAGCCTGTTGTGTACATGCAGAAGAAAGTCCCCAAAGGACAGAAATGCTGCTCTCTCTCTCCCCCTTCGGACAGGAGCCTTCAGGTTCCCAAGGCTACGATGCACCTGCAGATTGTCTCTCTGAAAAGAATGTCCCTTTTCCTTCCTCCATAGATTACATGGTCCTTTCTTAACACTTCCTGTGCCTCAGGCTCTTCTCTTACAGAAGGGGCCCAGGAGTAACAGCTCCTGGGCAGGTGCTGACAGGGAGGTGGTGGGGCGCAGGGAGCCCAGCGCTCTCTGTAAGCCTCACGCCTCTCACCGGCGTCCTGCTCCCTTTACTTACAATAACTGGATGTTAATTTGCACTAACAGACAGTAAGCACAGATGATAAATTAAGGTTTGGGGAGAAGTTATGCAACTAGGGAATTAACATAATGATATTTCCTCATCATAGTCCATGAGGACGATTACGTTACTGTTTTGACTTAAGAAGATTCTGGATATGTTGGGATGACCCTGGTATGCTACTGCTGTCTATGGATGTGCGTAGAGAAAATTTCTCTGTTGATGACATCAGCTTGCAAAAGAGAAAGAGGGTCCATTACAGCTTGAATTTGCCTAGGGTTACTGTCATTTGTATATTTGTTTTATTTAACTGAAATACTTCTTATCTGATTTGTAGGTTAGATTTTCTTCCTTTGGATTGTGATTTTAGAGCAGTTTAATACTCAACAGTATCTCTACCAGAAAACAGAACCAAAAAAATGTTTGTGATTGACGTTTAGAATCACTAGTGGGGAAAATGCTAGTCGAAATGGTTTAGAAATAGATTTAAAATTAATCATGTAAGCTATAATAATTTCTGGTTCTTGCCATAATTGATAGCCATGATAAGAAATGAATTCGTAAATGAAATATTTATTCAATTTGACAAAAGATGCTTTTAAATTGAAGAGCCACGCATTGGCTGGAAATATAGAAAGCTAGGATTTTAATACAATATCTGGCTTCTTGGGATATTAAGTTCTTACCGAGCGGTTGGTGCAGACAGGTGTGAAAGCGTTGGTCCCACAGGTGAATAGCCGGTCACCACCCACCAAAAGCACCCGGACATAGTTCTGGCATTCCTCCTGAAACAAAGGGAATCACAAGAAACATTTCAACAAGGCCTCAGCTCAGGAGAGATAATGGGATAAATCTACTTCATCTGGCTATGAAAAGTAACAAAACAAGAAACCCTTTCAGATATTGATATTGACCAAAAATAAGGAGGCTTTTAAACACAGTAGAACCTCTATAAGTTGACCACCAAGGGACAGTAACACACTGCTCAACATGTGGAGGTGGTCAACACAAGGAACTGGGCCTGCTGTACTGATATGTACGTGTGGTGCATTTCCAGTCTGTGAAAATTCGGTCAACTTAAGGAGGTGGTTAGTGTAGACAGGTGGTCAGCTATACAGATTCTACTGTAATTTGACTTTTATTAAATAAATTGGCACCCTGTATCTGTACCTTATTAAATAGAGAATATTTACAAAGATAAATATATGTTCTATTATATTCTCAGAACGTGTGTCTTCTTTTGACAAGCATGGCTTCATTTTGAATTGTATCTGATAATAGTACAAATTCTAAATTGCCTGAAATATGTGTTAGTAAAATAAATCAAAAGAACCTGTCAGATGCTGCCCGTGACACAGTGCCTTGGAAATCTACCCTGAGACTTTGAAACCAATGTCGTGAATTCTTCTCCAATCAGAGGTCATCTGTGAAATGGTCTACACAAATTGGAACAAGTTGTACTTTATGGACTTGCAAGTATCTAATCTATAAATACTTTAATTCATTCATTTCACAGGTAAAAATATAACGAATAAGGAAAGGATGTCTGGAACATTTGGCACCAAACCTCATGCTGACAGATTACTTAGATTTGAGTATTTCTTGTGGTTGGAAAGCACTCATAGAAATTCTGGGGTGTTTTTGCTAGACTGTGCTAAAAGTCACAAACCAAGCCCTTGGCAGAAAAATTAAAATTCAAGTTGGTAACAGTTCATGTAGAGCAGTCCCCATACTGTGTGAGGACCCCCAGAAGGAAGAGGCATGACTGAGCTACAAGGGACTAGGGGAGGGCAGGGGGGAGGAAGGCTTCCTGGAGGAGTTGGTTCCTAAGCTAAGTTTTAAAGAAACTCACTTGAGATGCAGTGAGTCTTCCTAGAGATGACAGGACACCTGTAGGACGTTACTAAGAAAGGAGGGAAAAGACATCCAGGCAAGAGGAAGAAACTGTCCAAAGCACCATGGCTGGAGAAAGCACAGTACTATCACTGTGTAGGGAAGGGCGCCACGCACGCCGAGGGGCCGACACCAGCTGGGTGTGCCAGGCCCACGAGTTTGCATCTTATTCTGAACATGAAGTGACCCAGTCGATGTTCTTACACATGAGGTGGCAACTTGATCGTATGTTTGCTATGGAAGGACAATTCAGAAGCCATTGGGGAGGATAAGCTGGAGATAGGAAGACTAGAGTGAGGGAGAAGGGATGGAGCCACGTCCACAATTCAGGCCCCTGTCATTTAGTGCCTGGACCAAGTGGTCAGTGTGCAAGGAGAAAACCGAAATCTAGCAAATGCAGGCCCGGTGACTGACCAGTCAGCCAGACACAGAAGACAGGGCATGATTTGCTTAGCGTCCAAAATCAGGACAGTCTGTGTTGAATGACACAGCGGTCCCCTCTCCAACCCAACGGACTCCCCTCCACCTGACGATGTGGCCTTGCCACAGCCTGGTCTGCCGCATAGCCTGGCTGTGCCAACGAAAAGTACTGAGACACTTGAATTTGCTTCCCAAAGGGAGATGATCTCCTAACACGACCACTAACAGTAATAGCAACACACTACTGGTGGCTATGATGAGGGAAAGAAAGGAAGATCTAAGTTAACCAAAAGAAGTTAACCAAAAGAATTAAGGAACGGGTACAAATCAGGGGCAGTAAACTGAGTAACTGAGAAAGGTCCCAGATGGAGAGGCCGTGTGACTTTCTTCTCCTTTGCTTTGATAACTGGCAGGAGGGCTGAGAAGAGAAAGAATAAGACAAAAGACTTCAAAGAATCCCCCAGATGGCCATTTCCAGGCCGATGCCTCAAAAGAGGGGCCCAGAGACACTGTCCTCCCAGGGAGCAGAAGTGCACAGGGTCCACAGGGAGAGGCCAGAGGAGGAGGGAGCAGGATGCCTTCCTGTCACCTGCCGGCGGGCGCCCACAGAGACACCTTCAGAGCACAGTGCAGCGTGGGCACGCCGTCCTGGCCTTCATGGGTAAGCCAGAGAGGACAATGGCACACGGTGGAAACTGGGATGGAAGCGGCCCACGGTGGAGGGGTGGAGGGGGTGCTGTTTGTTTTTTGTTGCTGCTTTTAGAACTCTTTCAAGAGCAAGGCAACATGTAAAAGACTTTTTATTTATTTACTTTTTTTAAGCAAGAGCTGCCGCGAGGTATAAACATGTAAAGGCAGTAACATGGTGACAGATAACCTGGGGAAGTGTCATTTATTCCCAGAGAATCATCTGGATTGAAAAGATGGGATGTCGCAGCAGAATTCCATGACCCTGGTGAAAGGAAAGCAAGCGCCTCTGGTCAATTAGGGAGAGGGTGACAGCCAAGATAACAACTGCGGTGTTTATCTTCATCCCCCAGAAGGGGAACAAAGGGCCCATAAGACTGCAGATTGCAGGTTGTCAACATTCCTGAAGGCCAACACAAGCCGGTGGAAAAGCAGAAAGAGTTGTCTAGTGTGACAATCAGGATGCAAGAGTGTGCCCGAGAGGGGCAGGACAGACACCGGCAGTGTACAAAAATCAAAAAAGTCAGTGAGGGAGAGCACGGAATGATTTCAATACAGGAGAAAATTAGAGCATGTTCTGGACATGAGGAATCAGAACGATCAGACGAGGAGGCAGTATCAGAACCCAAGAGGGGCTGGACGCGTTTCTGTGCCCCCAGGGAAGCGTAGGACAGTGAGGAAGACAGAGCCCTGGTTGAGCCCAATCAGAGCAGCGTCTGATGGAACCAGGCAGAGGAAGAGGCCTGAGTTACCAGCAGTGAGGAGAGGCCAGGGTGTGACCCCTCCACTGGGTCCTTCCAAAGGCCTTGGGGAGGCAGGTGGGATTTGTGTTTCCTCCTAACTGTCAGGAGTGGAACTCACTCTGCCCACCTGTCTGGCCCCACGGATCTCACGTCCTTCCTAGTCTTACCCCCCTGAAAGCTTCA